GGCAGAAGGCAGCAAGAAAGATCTTGCACAGGACATGCATGTGATGCTTTACTTGCAAACGGTGAAGAACACAGATGCACACCAGCCAGCTCCTGAGCTGAGCTGTTTGAAGCCAGTTCTAACATCCCAGTCCTGCTCTGGAGACACTTCATCATCATCAGTCAGTGCAGAGTCATCTAAAGTTAATATGTTGATTTCTGCTGGCTGAGGTCCTGACCCAAAATTCACAGAATTACAGGATGGCTGAGTTTAGAAGGGACCTCTGGAGGGCATCTTGTATCAAATTTAGATAGATCTTTGGATACAGTAATATACAGTTTTCTTTCCTCTAGCAAGAGACCAGAAAGCACAGCCAGTTCACGAATATGTCAGGCATCCTGGACCACAACTGAACAAAATGCAGAAAATAGGTTCCTTCCTACTTGGTGGTTGCATTTTATTTGTTTAATGCTCTAGGTAAGCCTGAAGCTTTATAGGTTTACCAAAATATAGATGATGATGAAACAGCTTAGTGTAAAAGACAAATTATATATGTGAAAAGAATAATCAGATCTTTTGTGGATCAACTCAAAGATGAAGAGAAAGAGTAGATAAGCAAAAAGAAAAGAAGCTCAAACAACTCTACTTTCCTTCCAAGGGGATGCAAGGATTTTGTATCATATTCTCCTGGTACTTTTTTATTCTTATTTTTACCACTTCATTGTTGTTTGCTGTTAATCCATTATTATTTTTACCAGTGTAGCAGCAAAGCTTCCTATGAGAAGACAGAGATGTTTTCTTAGAGCGACTGGAATTGGTGTAGATTTTTGAATTTAAAAATGTCATTCTCCCCAGCTGGTTGGCAGGTAGATTTAAGGATTTGGTCTGAATCAACCACTAGTTTCCACTTGTGACAGACACATGAATCCTGGCAAACCTTGGCTAGCCTTGGCTAACCTTTGCCTCAGGGCTCACTGAATCCACATTTCTAGGAAATATTTTTTACAGCCATCTGAATTATTTCAATTATGGACCAGGTAATGTTACTCTTCACATTGTTCCATCTTAACATTCTGTTCCTACATTTTTAAAAGTGCATTTTAATGATTCTCAAGTACTAATTGAAAAACAAATTTTCAATGCAGAATTAAAAACAATCTGAAAACAGATTATGTATCATTATCCCACCTGGAAGAATGCAACAAACATCATAATCCTATCTCACTTGCAACACAGTAATGAAGTTAAAAATGTTCTTAGTGCTCTTAAAAGGAGGCTTCTATTCAAGAGAAAACACAGTTGTGAGAAAAAGGTATCATTTACTCCAGCACAGTCTTGCCTAAATGCTGGCTGAGGTTTCCATGGTTAACCTAAATTAAAATTAATTCCATATTTTTTGACAGAAGGTATATAAAGTAATTTTCATATTTTCTTCTTCAACTATAATTAAAAACATGGGAAAAAGGCTTCATATGCCTCAAGTATGAAGGTATATTACAGCAGACGTTTTTGGTTTTGAATGGCTCTAACGCTTATGTTAATTGAGACTAAATTAAATGGGAAAGCAGAGTGTCATTATTGCCTTCCTGTGATTATACAGTTCACAATACACATACCCTGTGCCTACAAGGCAGTAACAGCCTGTGTGCTAGACTTGGTTGCTTGCTCTAAAAGGAAGAGAACCTTAATGCAGATTTGATCTGCAGTCACCTAACACTTCTTCTGCAAGAATTATCAACCAGTAATTCAGAAACAAGAGAAGATGGTGGGGGAATATAAAAGACTTTTATAGTAATTTTCAAAAGGTAGCCATAGGAAAGATGTGAAATATATACTATCAGAGGGAAACATAAAATGAAGAGTAGTTTAGCTTGTGTTCAATGCAAGATCTACTTTGTCTATCTGAGTGAGCAGACAGGCTCAATGTGTGAGGAGTACACAAATGGCCTAGGTCTCTCAGGATGCAGAGACAGGACACAAGATGCTTCCAAAAGAATCTTCTCAGCAGATTAAAACCACTCTCATTCCATAAAGGCCTTCTGATGGCTTCCCAGAAGGGAGTCCACAAGTGCACAATCCCAGATGAAGGTCATGCTGCTGACGAGCACTCAAAGGCATGACATGTTACAGAGAGCTTTAATAAATGCTGTCAGAATGCACTGAATCATCATCATCCTACTGGCTTCTACCAATAAATCCACTATTTTCAGCCCTTCACAAGTTTCTCATTGTTTCTTAATCAAATATGTATGTATTTACAATTAATTTTAAAAGTGACAAAATAAACAGGAAAAAGAAGTTTTTCTACACTTAGCTCTTAGAATTAGTCCTGAGCATCCTGAAACTCAGTGATAATTTGTTAACATACAGTTGCTACAACTGCTACAGACAGAAAAATATCTCTTTGAGGCATTCTAGGTTAGATAACTCACATATCACTCTGGTGGATGAAGTACAAGGCTTGATTTTGGAAATGCACATGGGGAGGTGGGAAAATAAAAGCACAAGAGTGTTTTCTGAAGACCTGTTCAAACCCAGTGGTCTCACTTGCTTTCCCATATTCTCAAACTAAAAGGCTGATACTTTCAAACTACAGAAAAGGCTTTGGGTTGAAATAATAAGCAAGTGCTACGTCTGGAATGGAATATATTGGCCTAGCTTTGTGAATAGCACTGACTCCAAAGTCAGTTCTATAACCACTCTTCACTGGGGAAAGAGTTCATAAAATAAAGCAGAGGGATATTTTTAGCATTTTGAATTCTCCACTAGCAAATAGAAACCTTCACTCAAAGTAGATGAGCTTGCTTTGAATAATTTTAAAATATACAAACAGAAGCAACCCCATTAAAAGTCTTAAAATGACATTTATTCAGTCAATGTGATAAGAAAGAATTCTATTACTTGGAAAGTGCTTTTCTAACTCTCACCTTTCAATCATTATTTGCATACAACCCAAATCACATCTGAATAAATTCCACTGGCCTTCCTTACCTACCACCCAGCATTATTTATATTTGTGTAGGATTACTAGTGTACAGGATAACCAAATACTTCCCCAGGAGACCTGACTGCAAATTAAAGAGGAAACAGCTTCCTGTGTGAAAACTCCAGAGGAGGAAAGATCCCCAGGTTAGATATGGAAAGACCCAGAAACAGAACGCTGCTTATTTTCAATAAGTGAAAGCAATGGCTGGAAGAGGGGAGGAAAAAGTGGAAAGCGAGAAACTATCAAAGATTGTGGCTATGTGAGAAGACCACAGAACAAGCAGATGAGAGCATATAAAATGAAGGAAGATCATTTGACTTAGACTCATAGACATTAAGCAAGACAGATATAGCAACCCTGCACAGGGGGAAAACTGCTAATTTTGCTAAAGGGAGAGCTAGGAGTTAAATTGTCTCATCTGACATAGGGTTTCTGGTTAGTGGCAGGGATGTCACTCTGTGTCTCCGCTCCTCATCAATAAAGCAGCACATTGCACAGAAAAGCCACAAATGATTCAGGGGACAGTCAAGTGATGAGGGCAAGATGGGAACCTGCAGAGACAGCTCTAGCTAACAGATCTAATGAAGAACAAGAAAAGGAGAGAGAGGGAAAGAGGACTCACAGTGACATAACCTACCCGAATTTTAGAGAGGAACACAGATGTTATAGACAGACCATGACAGGTGACACACAACAACAAGAAAGAGAGAGAAACCTCTGAACACAAAAGGCCTGGAGAGGAACAAAAATTTCACTAACTGAGAAGTATGACAATACAGAGAAAGACATATCCAAACGACATATCCAAGCTGACTAAAGTTAAGAGCAGGACAACAGACACTCAGAACAACAGACACTCAGAAATCTCTGTGTCCCCTCAAAGGAAAGATTTCTAATTTCAGGGAAGTGTTATTGGATCACCAGTTACTGCTAGGTGTAGTGGGTACAGTCTATTACTACCAAATATCAAGAAGAAAAGCACAGGAAAGTTATAGACAGGAAGAAATAGGGTTCCTGCTTGGGGTGGAAGAAGGGAAGGGATGGAAAATTTCTTCAAATATAGAGAAAATGTGTCACATATAAGGACTTTAATCTAAGAAGTCTAAAAATAGATTCTTCCTTTAGAGTGTGAGCTATGGGCAGAATGGAGTAGTTATTCAGTTAGATATAGGCAGTCACAAGATGAAACTCATGTACCAAAAGAAGCAAGCAAAGGTGACAAGCAGTTTGGAAACAGACTGACTGGCTGCAGAGAGGATCAGAGGGACAGAGGAGACAGACAGCTGATCAGAGAAAAAATGTTCTCCAAGGGCACAAAAACCCCTCCTGAATACATCAGTTTGTTTGAGCAGGTTTGAGTGTACAAACGGCCCAGAGAGAAGCAGGGAATGGATGGGACTGAGGCAGCACACAGTGGCAGTATTTCCTTGTAAAATGCTGGGCAACTGCTGGAACTCTGGCCGTTCACCCTCATTACTTGCTCTAACCACCTCCTGAAAATGAGCTTTCCAAGTGTAACCAAGAGCATATGCACAAATTCTGGCTAACTCAAACTTCCTTCTTTGTTATTTATTATTTTCAGGTATGACTAATACACAATAGCTGTGGGAGGCATGTCCTGGTCCCAGGCAGACTGCTCCTGCCCTAAAGTCTAAAAGCACAAAACAGATCATGTGTGGGAGAAAGCAAATAATACCATCTCCATGTTACAGGCTGAGAACTGGGGAAGAGAAGTAAGTGATTTCCCCAAGATTTCTCAGGAACAGTGGCAAAACTGGGTATTGAAACCCTCTCTTCAACATTCATCTGGTGCTTCAGTCACAAGGACATTGTGACTCTTCTAAGGACATTCCCTTTCATCCTCAGAGTGTTCTGGTAACAAGAATCTTTGACTGAATGTATATATCTTAAGGTCTCATTGAACCATGTGCAATTTTGCTTCTATTTCCAGCCTCCTTGTAGCCACTTTTGGTCTGAGCTGGAATTTGCAGTGCTACCAACTTCATCCACAAAGCCAACTTTTATAGGTACTTACAGTTCTGTTGGTGAAGTTACTAAAATCTGCCACTAAGATTTGCTTGATCATCTCTGGTGAGGAGACCACCACAAACATCTGGCGACCAATATAATACCTAGAAAGAAGTAAAAAATCATTTTAGCAAATGGTGACCACAGAGAGCTCTCTCCTTCTCTAAAATATCTCTTTTTGCTTCAATATACTTGCAGCGAACAAATATCACAGAAAATGTATTTCCTTGGGTAAAGCAATATCTTTCCAGCCTGTTAAATTAAGATGCATGGACCTGGAATTTAAGGGAAACAGCTTAAAATCTTTTACTGATTAATCAATACTCAGCCAACATTTTAACATAAAGGTTTACACACTCTTTGCTTACTCTGAATTCTGTGCAAAGTGATGTACTATCACTAAACCAAACTGCAGAGATGCAAAACATAATAAACCAACTGAAATAATCATGAAAGACCTACAAAATTGCATTGCCTGCCATCAGCCACATGAAATGCCTTTTTTTTGACTAAGCCCTGCCTCTAATGAGTCTTTCCAGAAGATCCCCTGTGTGACTGTAGTAAAGCACATTTCCACCACTTCTATCGGCACTGGAACAGAGTGCATCTCAGGCTCTGCATTGCCATGCATAAATCTTACATTACACTAGTAGGGAGGGGGGGAAAAAAGGGGGAAAAAAAGTTTTACTAAGTCTAAGGGAATTAGTAAAACTTCAGAAGAATAGGTGAGAGGAGTGTCTGTGCCTGTACACCCATTATCTCCCTGCTCCCATTTCAATATGACCTTGTGGCGCCAGGCTCTGCCCTTCTGGGTCTTCACACCACTGAGGATGCTTCAGTCACTGGGACCTGTCCCAACCCTGCAACTTCTAGAGCTCCCTTCTCCAGCACCATTTCTTCCAAGGCCCACAGGCACTGCATGGCTGGCTGCTCTGCTGGGGGAGAAAAAGCATGACCAACAAGCAGAGGTCGCTTGCAGTCCCTGCCTTTGTTGATCGCTGGACCAGAAAATCTATTCAGGCAGCACTGTCTTTTCTCCAGCTGGAGAGAGGAAGAAGAGGCTGGAGCAGGCACAGGAGGGCCAGGCAGCTCATAGCCGAACACAAGAGCAATACCAGAGATGCTGCAGTACCACAGTAATATCCATGTCTAATCATTTAGGTATGATACAGCTCAGTATTGATATATTGTTTATCACCTGTCTACACGGCAACAACTGAATAGACAAGCAAGCCCTGGACTGAATTAAATATAGTAACTAGGGGTTCCCATGGCAATGAAGCTGCAGCAGCCTGATTTCTTCAAGGGCAAGCAAATTAGACAAATATCTTGATTCCAAAGCAAGGTTTCAAAGTCCAATTTGACCTCCCTACCGCTCAAACTTGTAACAAAAAAATGACAGAGAAGAACACAATCCCTCCTTCAGGAAGGAAGGAAGAGATCATATTTTCTTCTCTCATGGGTTTTCAGAGGGAACTTTTATTTCCCAAATGCAATCCACAGGTTCTGCTGGAACATTAGATATGGGTGGTGTGGTCTGTGAGTGTAAACCTTTTTCACCCCTCCCAGTTTGCTCAGTCACAGCAAAAGTAGCTGTCTGTAATGGTCAAACTTTTATTCAGAATCCTCATAGGTGCATAAAAAAGAGCTGATGCCTCTGATTAAAGAGGGTTTTGATCACCGACTTCAGCAGAAGAGGATAATGCAACTTTTGCATGTATTTTGTACAGTTTTTCTGGCATCACAGAGGCAACACAAGCTCTCAAGGCAAAGATGTGCTGCTCTGAACCTCCCCCAGAATGACCACACTGACCTCTCATGCTCACACCTGGCTTTTCTTTTTCTCCCTCCAAGTTTAGCAAGTTCCTTGTCACATTTATTGGTTAGTGACTGATAGTCCTGCAAAAAACAGCTTTTCACAGGGACCAACTTCCTGACATGAGATCCCAAATCTGAATCAGGAGCTGGTTCTGTCTACCCAGACAGCTTAACTCTGACCAGCAAGGGGCACCTCACAATACATCAGGCAAAGCATGTGTGAGTAAGAGAGACACAATTCCAGTTTATTTCAAACCTGGGAAATTGCAAAGCTCCAGCTCCTGTCCACTGGGATAACAGGACGCTACTCACAGCAGGAGTCTTTATGTCACAGCGCACTTTGTGCTTGAAAGCATTCAGGACTAAAAATTTGGGACAGGAGCATCTCCTACTCAAGCTGTTTTTATGAGAAAGTGACTCACAAGCCAAGCTTATGCAAACAAAATCTATTCATCATCCTCCAACTCAGACCAGTCACCCGAACTCCCAGTTCTGTTTCCACAGCTAAGCTCTTTCTTTTTTATTTACTCTTCACTAACCTTCTAGCTATAGGCACCTGCTTCTTCTTTCTTTATGCAGTTATAAATTAGGGCAGAGAAGGAAAACGGGGGAAAAATATCCCCTACACCTAATAAACTGAAAATGCTAGGGAAAAAAAAACAAAACCAAACAACAAACTAGTTAAATTGATTTTTAAACTAAGTTCTGCCTTTTTTTAAGGAATGACTGCTATAAAGCACACACATTATTGGATCTCAAACAGCAAAAGCTCTCTTCCTGCCTTTTTTTCATTCTCCTACTTTCTGTATACAATCTTTCTAACCTTTTCTGGGACACAAAAAGATGAGTCTGTGTATGGGCATACTTTGGAAGTCAAAATCCATAAGCCAAAGGCATTACTTCCATGGTCCTTCCCTGAAGTTAAGGAAAAAGGACAAGTAGAACTAACTGTGATACAAAATCACCTGAGCTATTTCATTCAGCAAACACAGGCTTGGAACCTGAAAAGCTGCCAGAAAGATGCTTAACTGAGTTTTAATATATTTTAAATCCTTTGCAGGATCAAGGCCTCAATCACAAAACAAGAGGCTATCTCCCAACTAGGTGTTTTGGATTTTTTTCACTTGTTTCAAAATAGCAAGTAAAAGATAAAATCTTCCTGAACAATAATCTATTCTTCCCAAGTAAATAACATATTCACCCCTGCCATGTAACTTCATTTTGATTCTGTATTACTGGATGAGGATATCACTAGTCCCACACTGAGTTAGATTTATTATTGAACAAAACCTGATATTCTTGTCAGATTTTAATAAATAAGAGTTTGAGAAAAACAAAAGCCTCTGGCCAAGTACACTGCAAACGGATTCATGAATAATTTAGGACAGCACTTTTTATTAACTTTTCCTAGGTTAATCTTTCCACAGGGCTCATTCACTGAAGTCCTACCTTTAGCTACAGTACCACCACACTGCTTGACCCAACACATTATAATATTTTCATCTAGGGTTTTTAGGGTGGAAAACAAATACTTGGGAATACCTAGCCTGCTCCTGCAGAGAAGCAAGAACTCATGCATGTAGCATGACACCCTTGGGGCAGTGCACCTCTGTCCTCATGGAAATCAATTGCAACTCTGCCACACCAGCAAAAATAAATTCACGACCCACACATGGAAGCAAATTTTCCTGTGTAGATGAGGCACTGGTTAATTAAGTTATGCTGCTGAGGCAATTTCTATTATATTTTAGTTTAAACTGCAGCCCTCCAGAACAGCAAAAGAAATTCACGTTTTAGACCAGTAGCTTCAACTCCATTGGAAGGTGAGGCAGGAAAGACCCGATACCAGTACATAAACAGCTCAAGTACAGTGTGAGCTTCCTCCAGCAGATGAAAATGTGGATGAGGAGCTACTATCCCAGCAGGCTGCTGGTGCACAAGCAGCCTCGTGCCACATCATCCCCAGCATGGCCTGGCAAAAAAGGGCTGTCACAAGCATTCAGCAGAGGGCATGGGTCTGTTCCCAGAAGCTGCAAAAAAAGTAGAGATTGCCAAAGGGCTTGCAGGTCAAGGAGGTGGTTATGTCACAGAGTATTGAACAAAATAAGCCAAACTTCATCAGAAGCGTTTCAAAAACTGAAGAGGCTACAAACATCTTGCACATCCAGCTGCAGCAGTTTCACTCCCCAGAGCAGACAAGCACCCCTCTTAAGGCAATTCATGAGACAGACAGAGATGACTACCGTGTTCAGGGTTCACCCAGGACATTGCAGTCCTCTTTACAATGATTCAGTCATTCACTAAACACATCTTTTCTTTTATCCACAAGAATAAACAGCAATCCAGCAATGATATCTGCAGGTTTGCTCATGCACCACCATTGCTCTCTGCAGAGGAATGACCTAGGTGTCTCAACCCTACACCCAGTGCCTGCCATGGCCAAGGGCCACAGAAGATAACCCACGGAGGTAAGAGATGCCTGCCAAGCCCAGCTCTGAGCTGAAATAGGAGTGATGAGACAAGAGGCACACTGGACTGCCCAGTCCCTCCTGAAACACTGCAGCGATCATCCTTCCCAATGTTTGTCAGAGACCCCCCCAGAACGCAGATTTCTGTTTCTCAGATCAGAATCAGCTACTTTTAACTTGAAAGACCAATTCAGCATCAGCCTTTCCATGCTCCCAAGACCACCCTGCCCAGCATCTCCCAGCTCCTGAGCCACAGCCATGGCCCCTGAGCAAAGCTCACAGCAACGTGGCCTTGTTGCACAGGAAAAGTGGAGAGCACACCCAGTACCTCATGGCAAAGGGCCACATGTTTTTGTATAACATCCATGTGGGAAACACCTGCAACCCTTTCACCTTGTTTACAGTGCTGCTGTCAATTCACAGAAGACTTTGATCTTCCTATCTATTATCAGCCCCAATCATAAAACATATATATGCTGTTAGGCAACAAGCAAGGCTTTGTTTTCTATGCTGTGGTCTGGTTAAGTACACAAAGATCACCTGCAGAGCCACATGAAAATAGAATATTTTATTATTGCTGTTTTCTTGGGGGAAGAGCAAAGAACAAAGAAAAAAAAAAGGCAGTGTGGGGAGAAGGAGAGGTGTACAAAGACACAGAGATACAGTGGGAAAAGGCTGATTTCCTTGGGCAATTTTTCCTTAAAAGAAGTTCCTCGATTACTCTGCCTCTTTTGTTTAGAGAGACCCTTCCATTGCAGGCAGAGAAACATAAAAACAAATAGCACAATGCTTGTTTAAAATAGGCCTGAAGCCCTGCC